GCGGTTGTTCATTGACGAGCGTACCAGATTAGAGACCAAATGATTGCGGGTTCGAATTCTGCTCTCGGGTCTACCATTGTGAGTCTATGGGCAAGGCACTTTACTCTAGTTACCATGACACTACGTAATTTAATTGTTTAGTTGTGCGGCAAATATGTAACCACACCCTTGCATTTGTTATCGTCAACTTGATATTGTACTTACAAGTACAAATATAATTTACCAACATACCCTTTTTGACACTCTGTTAATAGATAAATCACTAACTGACTCAAAATAATTTAAAACTCTACTAACTTAAAATTAACAACAGTCTCCAAATAATTTGTCACTGCTAATAAATGCTTATGTACGTATCTACCATAAGTACAATATCACGTAACGTTCACAAACTGTGTACGATCGTTATTACTACATGATGGTTATCACTATACGATTATTATTTTCATATAATCGTTATTCTTATACGAGTATTATTCTCATATAATCATTATTTCTACACAATCACTTATTAAGTATACCAGTTACGTATTTACAGCAAAGAAAATATTTGTAAGCACACATAAGCGTGCACTAGCACAAAGTTCTTCAAACATGATGTTTTAGTACATATATAGCGCCCGTAAACGACACACGTCAGTTAGCTAAAACTGGCTTGCTTTCTATTAGAATTTAGTTTCAGACTCTTTCAAATTAGAAGTTGTTAAATATTATTCAACCAAATTATACTGAACTGATTTACTCATTGCAACAAAATAATATCAGAACGGAAAGCTCATCAGTTCGATCGATATGTGTCATTTACTTAGTAGTTCTCCAACTGAATGTATGTAACTCAAGGAATTTTGATTTTGTCTTTTTCTAACAGTAATTAGTACACATCTTACTTTGAAATCGAACATGATATTATTAAACTGAAGGTTGCATATAATACGTTATCTATATTTGGGGTTGGTAGTTTTGCACGTCAATTTTAAGTTACTGAAAGTTACTCGGATTAATGCAATATTCATCATAATTTGTTAAATTAACTCCCCTTATCTCAGTCTAGCGCAAATACACATGAATGTGGTCCTTTTGCAAATATAATACCACGTGACAATTAATACCACACCTGTGAATGGTAACTTTCAAACTGCAAATGCATGAAATGTAACGGTGCCTCATAATTGAATACGTGAATGATGTATCTTAATACTCGATATTATTTTGAATTATTAAAGTGGACATTATATAATGTCATTTTTAACACTAACACATCATTTCACCAGATAAAAATAGCAAATTCTGACAAGCACAATAAAATTTCCAACTCTGTGTGTTTCAACAGATACGATCTAAAAGCTCAACATGCGAAATGGAACTTTCAACACAATCAATACGATTCAACATGTTAAATTGAAACTCTCGACATATGACATTATTATTTCAATAACCGCCGTGTAATTCAGAAGATACAATATAAAAATTTGACATTGGACATCGAGTTTTCCACCATTGATGTGTAATTCAACCGAGGAATTCTAAATACTCAACATATGAATTGGAACTTTCAACATAAACATTTTTAACCAATAAAGAAAAGTAGGAATTTTCGACGTATGATATTGAAATTTCAATCACCGTTGTATAATTCAGACGACACAATATAACACCTTGACGTGGAAAATATAAACTTTCAACCACTACAGTTAAATTCAACAGATGCAAGCTAAAATCTTGACCTAGAAATTGGAACTTTAAGAGCAAGCAGTTTTGATATAACACGTAAAATTGGAATTTTGCACATATGACATTAAAATTTCAACGGCAACATTCTGATTGAACCAGTTTTTTTTCCACTACGGCGTCTCATAGAAGGGATTTATCTGCAGCAGGAGTGGTTTCGAAGTTTGAAAGCCAGTGACGTCAGAATTCCACAACGATTACAATATTTTCTGCTCCTGTCCTTAAGTACATAAACTAAAGTTTTATATTTTGTTTAATTGTATCGTCGACCGTCCCATTAACGGAAAAATACCAAAATAGTGTGCTGAATCAAGCGGAACTTTATTAGCATCTTTAAAAAATTATATTATTAGCACTTTGGGAAAAAACATAATCTTTAATTCACAATAGGCACCTTGTAACAATGGCTTCTTTTAAGAATTGATAATTTCTATCTTAGACAAAATCAACCATTTTCTACACTGAACAAGAAATCATATTCAAACAGCATTTGTTCAGCGATTTTCAACACAGACTCCTAATACGGGCTTTGGAAGCAGTTGTCTCTTACGGACGAATGAATTTCGCTTAGAAATAAATTCACAATGATGGCAATGGAATGTGGATCTCTTTAAACTGCCATGGTAAAATTTCCTTGCCACTAATATGTGTAATTATAGAGATATGGAATCATATACGATAAACATTTGAATTCAAGCACATATAGCTAAATGGTGGGGAGTAATATTTATAACAATGGTGATCATAGAAAAAAAAACAAACCGGAAAGACTTTTAAAAAATTACTACACTAGTACAAGTTGACAACGTGAATTGTAAAGCGTCATTTTTCATGCGAAACTCACTTCATAACCTATATCAAATCTGATTAAAAAAAACTATTGTCGTGTATGTATACGCGTGTGCACCAATTATGTTTATTTAACTGATTGTATATACTAAATGAAGCTGACTTGCAATATATAAGTTATGTAACTGACCGAACATTTCATGGATAATTGTACGTATAAAATTTGGTTATATGCCTCAATATCTCTGAGTAAATTTTGACGATAATGAAAATTTATTTGGTTCATTTAGTCTTCATGATAGGATCTAATTCTAATTCTAATGTAGTAGATGCTAAAAAAAAAAAAACGGTATTGGATATATACGGCATTGTAAATAATGTCCCCGTCGCCTTAATTATTGTCTTTTAACTTAGGTCTACTGTCTCTTACTAATTGGTGCATGACATCAATTGGATGCTCACCTCTGTCTACGTGGATTCGAGTCTATGATTCGGCGACTGTGGATGTGTGAGAAAGCTTGAGAGTAGCTTTTCGTGTGTCAGTGGTTCTTTCCGCGGATTTCCCGGTTTCTTCCTCCACCATTAATAATGGCCGTCATATATGGCCTGTCGTGTGCTGAAAAATGACGTTAAGCCCCAGAACAACAACAACATCAATTGGATGACCAACTGTGTGTTTAGTAAATCATCTCTTGAGCAATTCTGGTTATCTATATTCACTTAGTGTTACAAGTACTCATATTACTTTAAAACTTTTTATAATGACTCCCACAATAAACCCTAAGAGACGTCTTAATTGTCCAACACGACAATCATTTCTCTTTGGAACTCAATTATGCCCGGAATGAAATTGGTATTTAATTTCTTGAAACAAGAAGTGATATTTCGTGTCAAATGTGAATTATTTTTCTTGACAGTAATTACATGAAACACTTATTAGTTCACATCAAGATGAAAATGACTTTTTTTTCAATTATATCCACATTTTCCAGCAAATATAGAAACACTGTAAAAGAATAGTATCAAACGTCCGAACCTGGTGTCAGGATAATGTGACTGGGTGGGGCATTATGCCACATGTCTGATGCATGATGCCCCAGTGCTAGATATCAATATAAACTGTCACACTGCAGACATTGTTGTGATATGAGTGAAATTTGTTTAAACATACTTTAAAAATCTAAATCACGCGAACACATACACACACATATATATATATATATATATATATATATATATATATATATATATATATATATATATATATATATATATATATATATATATACATATATGTATATATATGTAAATATATGTATGTATGTATGTATGTATGTATATATATATATATATATATATATATATATATATATATATATGTATGTATGTATGTATGTATGTATGTATGTATGTATGTATGTATGTATGTATGTATGTATGTATGTATGTATGTATGTATGTATGTATGTATGTATGTATGTATGTATGTATGTATGTATGTATGTATGTATGTATGTATATTATGCTTCCAGTTCTAATACGAATAGCTCATTATGAAATTTGCAAGTATAATAGAAGGAACAAAATTAACGCACATTCTAATCTATCCGTCCTAGATCAGGTTTTGTTGTAAATTATTATAGCATTTGTCTCGCATCAATATTTTAATTTTTTTTATTTAAAGGATGACATTAAAGCCATTCTCTACTAGAACAGCTGCAACAATAGTAACAATAGTGTCAAATAAAACATTCAAAAAACACTTGATCCATTGATAAGCAAAGGTAAAAAAAATAATTATCTTAGGGCGAGGAAGTCATCAATAGTCCAGGTAATAACAATCTTATTTATAGTTGTAACGTGCATCCATAATAACTTTCATTATGTCAAAATAACTTTTATTTCCGATCGTGATGCTGTAGACTGTTACTATCCTTCCTCTGCATGAGGTGGATAAGTGTAACCTAATCCATATGCCATTGTTTTTTTTCTCCGTTTTATCTCATTTAAATAACATTTAGTCATAACTTGTATATTTGCCGGTTTAAAGCACTTTCATTTCCACTTGATTTCCCACTGGGGTAATTATTTATCATGTGGCAAATATTTCTATATGTTCTTCTTTTCATATTGATGACGCCATCTCCACGTATAATACCACGAAATATTTCTCCAGATGAAAGAGATTGCCACCTCTTAAAAGTGTCATATTTTCTACAAGCACTCATGTATCAAAATAATGGTGGTGTGTTGTTTATACTTTTAACGTAGCTTTAACAATTTTTCAGTCATAACGCTACGAAGTCTGTAGTATGACAGTTTATAGTGATGTCTAGCACTGGGCATCATGCCGCAGACATGTAGCATGATGTCCCACCCAGTCACATTATCCTGACACCAGGCCTACCAGTCCTAACACCAATCTCTTAATGCTGAGCATCAATCGAGGCAGCTGTTAGTACAATTTTTGTAAGTCTTTGGTATGACTTGACAGTGGATCGGACCCACGACCTCTCGCATCCGAGGCGGACACTCTAACCACTAGGCCACCAGAGCGGTTCTATTAAAATAATAATAATATCATTCATACATAGCAAAAAGAAACAGAAGTCTACCCGTCAGAATGAAGCAACTCTGACTGCTAGGGAATAAAATACTAAATGAATCCATCAGAATCAAGCCATGTTATATGTCAGACAATAAAGAACAAAAATGAATCCGTCAGAATGAAGCAACGCTGACTGCTAGAAAATAAAAATCAGAAATTAATCTGTCAGAATGAAGCCTGGCATTATGCTAGACAATAAAAGACAGAATCGTAAATCTGCCGGAATGAAGCCAGGTTATGTGCTACACAAAAAAGAACAGAAACGAATCTAACAGAATGAAGCCTGGCTATATGCTAGACAATAAAGAACATAAATGAATCCGTCCGAATGAAGCCTGGCTATATGCTAGACAATAAAAAACAGAAATAAATCCGTCCGAAAGAAGCCTGGCTATATGCTAGACAATAAAGGACAGAGATGTAAATCCATCAGAATGAAGCCAGGCTATATGCTAGACAATAAAAGAGAGAATCGTAAATCCGTCCGAATGAAGCCAGGCTATATGATAGACAATAAAAGAGAGAATCGTAAATCCGTCCGAATGAAGCCAGGCTATATGTTAGACAACAAAATACAAAAACGAATCCGTCAGAATGAAGCCAGACTATATTCTAGACAATAAAGAACAGAAATGAATCCGTAAGAATGAAGCTAGGTTATATGGTAGAAAATGAAGAACAGAAATGGGTATCCATCAGAATAAAGCCAGGCTATATGCTAGACAATAAAGAACAGAAATGTAAATTCGTCAGAATGAATCCAGGCTATATGCTAGACAATAAAGAACAGACATGTGTATCCATCAGAATGAAGCCAGGCTATATGCTAGACAATAAAGAACAGACATGTGTATCCATCAGAATGAAGCCAGGCTATATGCTAGACAATAAAGAACAGACATGTGTATCCATCAGAATGAAGCCAGGCTATATGCTAGACAATAAAGAACAGACATGTGTATCCATCAGAATGAAGCCAGGCTATATGCTAGACAATAAAGAACAGACATGTGTATCCATCAGAATGAAGCCAGGCTATATGCTAGACAATAAAGAACAGACATCTGTATCCATCAGAATGAAGCCAGGCTATATGCTAGACAATAAAGAACAGACATGTGTATCCATCAGAATGAAGCCAAGCTATATGCTAGACAATAAATAACAAAAATGCTAGACATTTTAGAGTACTTAAAAGGATGACGTAAACGCCTTTGAATTTCGCTGATATTGCAAAAATAACTAAGATTTGGCATATTTAATATAAGAAATGGTTTTATTTCCTTTTCAATGAAGAAATTAAAATTATAATAAATTAAAGAAAATTACAAAAGTTACTAGCGTTGAAAAAATTGATAACGTTATCTGAGGGTTAATAATGTGTGTATTATTTTCAGCAATAAAGCGTATATGAACACATTCTCATAAATATCATGACATTAAAGAAAACGAAAGTTAGGTTTTGCATTTTGCGCAATTTTCAATCTGTCTGGCACCATTTATTTTTTAAATTACTTCAATATTGTTTATTACCTATATTAGACGGTTTTTTTCCGTTCCAAGTGGCTTAATAATGGTAATATTTCATCTTTGTAACGCTTTTGTCTGCATAAGTGCCAAATGCGTAGCGTACGGTTTCGGTGCTGTTTCCCAAATTGCTATAGATGTCTAAAATACAGCACACATGACTGCTATAGATACTAAATATAGAAGAAAACTACCTTATAAACATGTCTAACAAACTTGGCTAAAATGGGATCAGCATTTTGCAGAACTAATCTAACAACTCTAAAAGAGGTGCTCCTAGTTACTATAGAAAACCCACGGTTGCTTAACAGGACAACTCCGGCACAAATTTATCACAGCATTTCGAAATAAAATTTATGCCACGATTTATTAAAGTTAGCCAGTTTGAAGAAAACGTCAAAATAGACTTACGGTTGGATCCTGTAGTAGTAATGACATTGCTTGTTATGCCATCCGACTCAAGAGTTTAGTAGCACAACTCTTGATAAACGTGTCTGTCAAGTTTTACCAGGATAGGCTGATATGCAGTTACAAGGAAGTCATACACATTTGCACACATTTACCCGTTAAACATCAGCATTTTTATGGAGGCTACCTTGGATACAGTTTTTTATATCTTGTTCCATGAAATATTCGCACAAAGTTTATCCAACATTTACAAGAACAGTTTTCAAAGGAGTGTATATTGACGGACCAGTTCTTGATGGAAGTATTAAAAACACTGGCTACATTATGGGATTGAATTGCCTGCTGTTAGATGAGCTAAAAGCTTCTATCACGGTAGACCTTTCTAAATGTACCTGACTGAGTGATTTATGAAGGGGCCGCGTTAAAACGTGCGTCTTTTATTAAAATGTGGTCGGGCTAAAATTCATGATTAAAACTTTCAGGTTAATAATAGCTTAGAATTTTACTAGACCGTTTTCAAAACAAAATCATATTAAAATAACTTCCAGTTGAAGGAACAATTATCCAAATACTTCTTAAATTTGGAGCTATAGTTCCAAAAAAGAAATCTTGATTGAGATAATGTTTTTCAACATAGAAAAAAAACGCGTGACTTCCATTTGCTTAAGAAAGAGATCAGTGTACTGTTTTTATTAATCAGTCAATGATGCATCTTCTTACTACGGTAAAGTGGTACAAAACATCTGCAAGATTGTTGAGAACATGCAATAAAATACGTTACATTACATTTTAACTTGTTTTTTTTATTTTTACACACCAATTTGGATTTAAAAATGTGGTACTTGGTCAACTTTGTGCTTTGCAACATAATTTTAAAAATTCAATAGAAAATTGCTAAATTTATAGAAGTAAAGAATTATTCTGAACTACTCACCATGTTTGTAATGAAAGGTTTGCCTGTTACCAGATCCTTCCTCCCAACGAAAAATATGCTTACTCCACGAGATGCACGTGTATATTTATTGGCAGTGGAAAGAGGACTGTCTTTCTGTATGAATTATACAGGCACTTGTTAAACAGACTGCCAATCACGCTGATACCAATTCCGTGACAAGCTTAAGGCTTCATCACAATTGTTTACTTTCAAAGCTTCTGTGTCTCTTGTTTAACAATTATAATAATCATGAAATTTTTTGCCGAGTAGGCAATTGATTTGCTGGAGACAAGCTAAACACGCAATTACAATGTTCATGTTTGAACATACATACATACATATATACATGCATATATATATATATATATATATATATATATATATATATATATATATATATATATATATATTGATGGATTCACACATATTAAGATGACAATGTTTACGTCAGCAAAACAATTAATGGTTTTAAAAAATTCTATTGATTATAAAATTGTAAATTTGGTTTTTGATTAGCTATTCAAAAACGGATGATATTAGCCAAAATTGCCAGCCTTTAATGTTTCTCGCACTTGATATGTATTGAACTTATATTCAAATTAGTTCTTAAATTCGCATACAGGAGTTCTAGGTTGATAAAATATGAGATCAATATGCTTTCATCAGTGAGTTCTGATAAGTGTGCTTGGAATTTTCTGTGGGAATGTCACTTATTTTACCAGTAGAAGTAAATGCTACTTCGCTATACTGTAATTGTGCTGTATACGACCTAACCCTATATTAATAAGTAAATATTTCCTGTTCAACTAAGAAAGCTTAATTGACCATTTTGCTATAACTGGTGAAAAAATACTTAATCGAAGAACATGTTGATATTTTAAATGATTCTTTTTTAAACAGTATTTTCAACCTGTCTTCATGATAATTCAGTTCATACGAAGGCTAGTTTTATTTCTTTTTTCCTCCACCTTTTCATTTTTGTTTACTTAGGCTGGAGAGTGTTAGAAACATACTGAATTGAACGATCATTTTAAATCAAGAGATACACAACACAGCACGCCAATATGGAAACATGTACTTCGGGTGAATTCCTTTGTTAAAAAGAGAAGGCGAAACAAAACAACGATAAATTGAAATCTTAAATCATTTAATATATATGTTCATCCAACCATCCGTCCATCCATCAATCAATCACTAGGTATGTAATTATGCATGTGTATCTTAAAGTCTAATGTCATATCAGCGCTTTAATGTCTATATTATGTTCAAAGAAAGTATTGTTTTGAAAATGTAACCACTATCCAAATAAAAACTGATGTAAGGCTTTTTTTTTAAGGAGAGATGGAACCATTAAATGACACTTAATGGTTCCATTAACAGTAACCGTTCCGTGACTAATTAAGCAATTACTATATTTAAGAATACTGCAATGCATTTATTTCAATCAACTATATCATTTGTTCGTCGTTATGCATATTATTTGCCTGAAATTTGTTAATTAAAAAAAGACATGGGATTGCCTGTTCAGAACATGGTAACATGAAATTAACTCTTCAATAAATAGATGTAGTTTTAATTTCGATAGATCGAAACAGAATTAGATCTGGTATGATATTACGGGGGAATATCCTCTCTGTAACTTATATTACACAATGACTACTTCTTCTTTAGTGTAACTTCAATTGTTCTTGACTTGTAAATTTACTAATCCTCTCGTATGTCATATATGTATAGTCTGAATACGATGTTTTAAAATAAAGCTTTGTTATGCTATTTTCTGTTAAATATGCATGTCAATGGAAAATATCGTTAAAACCATGTTGTGCATGTACAGACACAGTGCACTAGATTTTAGAGTCATCACGACGTAAGTTATTTCATCCATGTCCCATGACATTCATGAAGATTCCCAACTCTCATGTTAAGCGGAAAAAGTCTTTTTGGTCTTGATTGGATTGGAGCCAGTCAACCCACTGGGAACCAGAGAGAGTCGGCAGCATAAGAGAAGAGCTGAAGCCCATCCTTCTCAGTTAACGACAAATCGGGTTTATTGAGAAATATAAACTTTCATCATGGAAT